ACCAAAGACTGTTTCTGCTGTATTGTGTTGCAGTGCTGCACCCAGAATCCTAGCTCTCTTACTGACTGACTCCTTTATCACTGTAGCATTAATCTCGGACATTATTCAAGTAGACACTTTGTTCTGTCCTCTGCCCCTGCCTAAGTCTGGTATCGATGTCCAACTAAACTCAAACATGCTTTGAATTTCTTCTTTTCTGTTTAGTTAGTAGAACACACACCAAGAATACTTGGTGGAAACAGATCACACCCAGATCTGGACCTTGCCATCCATTAGTTACATTACAAATAGCTATGACTGATGTGGTAAATTTATTGCATTCCACATCCAAGACCTTGGACTACTCTGCTTCTACAGCACTAGTCAGAATCAATTATGAATTTTTTTAGGCCTTCCTACTCCTGCTCTGCCATTCAGCACTAGCAGGAAGAATCAAGCTTATTCCAAGTAATGAAAATCAAATGCACAGACATTTGTGTTTGCTATTTCAATCCAGGAGGGATCTGCAATGCAAGTTTAAAAAGGAAAACTGTTTTCTGCTGGAATCATGAGAAGTGAGCAAAAGCCATAATTGAAAACCAGCTCTCCCAGGGTGAAGGGGAAGATGAGGGGAAGAAGCTAAAGAGTCAGATGCTACAATTAAGGGATGAACAGCTGGCGTTTTAAGGAATGTGGTTTATAAGCCAAGAGGCTGGGTAATAAAATGGCAGATGAAGTTCACTGGACATCAGTAGTAAGTGATGCACAAGGGAAGGACCATCTCACTTAACATTCACAGATACAGACTCCTACCACTGTCACTTAGAAGCTAAATCCTGATGGCAGCTGTTTCAAGATACCACCTCAGTGGCTCAGCAGCTATCAGAGAGCAAACCCAGTGTTAGGCATCTTTAGCACAGGACTGAAGAACAAAACCAGAAGATACCAGGACACTCTGTGAATCCTGAATGGCAGACACAGATTTGGTACCCAGAGTTACAATGGAATCCGAAGATACAGACAAGGTGCAGGAGGAGATCGCAGAATGTGCCCACACCAGCATTTTGGCTTGGATCAGAAGCACACTGCTGAAACTCACCTCCCAGTCACTGCCACCACATGCAGTGTGATTCCTGTCTCAGAACCTTCTTGGACCACATAAGCTGGATTCTTAATGTATCTAAACAAGGAGACAGCCACTACCACAGCAAACACTAACTAGCACCCAGTCCACAAGACTAGGCTGAAGTCAGCGATGCAAACTTCTGTGAAATGCAGATAAGCACAGGCACCAAGTCCCCAGTGCACAAATCCCATCCTCACCCACCATGCTGTTTGATAATGAGGACACAGCCAAAGTGAGGAGGTGTCGAGTATCTTGTTTACAGCAAGCACCTAATAAAACACAGGATACTTCATTCTGGGGAACATAAGGCTGAAGTGTTCTCCATGATATGGCTCTAAAACAATGTAAGTGGCATAGGAAAAGATGAGCAGGAATAACTGCTCAGGGTCTCTTCCTAAATTAGATGGAAGCAACATCTAATCATAGATTCACAGAATTATAGAATGGTTTGGGTTGGAAAGGACCTTAAGATCATCCAGTTCCAACCCCCTGCCACAGGCTGGGACACTTTCCACTAGACCATGTCACGCAAGGCTCTGTCCAATCTGGCCTTGAACACATTAACAGAACAGGCAGAACATTGTTCTGCTTCAGAACAAAAGGAGATGTTTCTTCACACAGCACCTGTTTACAAAGGAGAACTCCTTGCTAATGAAGATTACGGATGCTGCAAGTTTATATGGGTTCAGAAAGAAACCACAGACTCCTTGCTGTAAAACCCATCAAAAGCCATTAAGTGCAGTCAGCAATGCTAGCTCTGGAAGTACCTGAGGCAAAGACTGCTAGAGCTTGGGGGATACTCCGGGTTAGTAAAACTACAGACCTCCCTTGTTACTGTCCTCTTTCTTGTAGGATCCACTACTGACCACTCTCAAGATACAACACTGGCCCTGACATACAAAATTTAGCCTGACCAAGCTGGACTACTCTTGACAATGGCAAGAGAGGAAAGAGGAAATGGAAGAGGAAATAAAATGCACTCCAGTCTAAGAAAAGGGGAAACAACTCCTATAACAAACCACTGAACAAGCAAAGCTTGTCTTTCTTTTAGGGGCGTAATCACGGGCTTCATCCCCACGTGTCCTGGTTTCAGCTGGGATAGAGTTAATTTTCTCCCTAGTAGCAGTGTTGTGGTATGGCTTTAGTCTGGGAACAATGCTGATAACACACCAATGGCTTAGTTGTTGCTCAGTAGCACTTACCTCAGTCAAGGACTTTCTCAGTCTCATGGTCTGCCAGAGAGGAGGGGAAGCCAGGAGGAAGCAGAGACAGGACACCTGACCCAAACTGGCCAAAGGGGTATTCCATACCACAGCACGTCATGCCCAGTATAGAAACTGGGGGGAGTTGGCCAGGAGGGGCCAACTGCTGCTCCTTCTTAACGGCACCATGCCAGTAGGGGTCAAGAGATGCTACTGTTCACTTGGTTACTGAAAACTGTTATTCCGATAGAAACTGCTGCCACACATGGTAACACAGCCTGCAACGCCTGCAGACCCACAGGCCCTCGGGGACAGGCCCAAGGAGCCAGTTGAACTATGGCTCCAAACCACTCAACTTTGAGTACAAACTATCCAGGAAACAGCCTTTTTATTGCCAGAAATCTGATAGAAAACCCAAAAGCCAGAGGAAGTCACTAAAACAGAAGGCATTTAAAACTAAAAGGGAATCTGCCTCAAGACATTCCTGTGCTTCAACCAGTGTATTCCTCACTCAGTCTTCTCTCTGAATTTTTACACTTGGCCAATAAATACCTCTCATTCTAGCACTTGGAGAGGATTTATGATGCACTGCAAGTGCTGTGCAATTAAAAGATTTAATGCCTGATTCATTTCCTCCTTCAAAGGGAGACTGGAGAAAAGCATAGCAGGAGATGGTTGGGTACCATATAGCTGTGGGTATATCATACATATACATGATGTGACATTTCCTCTACCACTACTGTAAACCAGCACATCCCCACTCTTCCTGTAGTTGTATCAAACCTATTTCACTGTGTAGATTCCCAACTATTAGTCATTCTTCAGCTTAATCGTTGAGGGGGTTACAGTATGGATTTTTACACACCATCCCACATTTCCACCATAATTTATCAATTGCTTTTTCCACTCCATTTCACTGAATTTCTAATCTCATTTCCCCAACTACACTGTCTACAATCATAACATAGCAGTGACTTTAAAAAATTCAGCATGCTCCACTAATTTCACAATGTGTTAAAAGAGATAACAGAGGGAACACATTCTTTCCATCTCAGTGTGATTACTTCCACTTGCCTATCAGAGACAACAGTACACAGCCCAGGAGGAGGACAGGCATTTCTGCAAGAAGTAGTCAACACTTTGCAGCTTTACACAGGTATCAACCAACTTTCAATGAGAGAAATGCCACCAACTCCTACGTGCAAGACCGAGCATTTACCTCTTCCACATTTTTAATTAGCATTTGGTGGATGTTTTATTCTGAATCATGCAGACAGGGCTTCATCCAATCCAGCAGCACATTTGTTTGAAGGATTATTACAGATGCATCATATACTCATAAAACACCCTGCTCTGAAAGGAATTTTAAATGGCACAATGTCCCGCTTGCTTCCCAGCTGCAGCCTTAAGTTCTATATAATGTCAATGCTGAGCACAAGCTACTTTCACAAGCAATTAAGACAGACTACATGAAGTACCTAACTCAGCCCGCAGGCTACATAAGACTTGGCTTTCAGCTTTGTTCAATTACTTTGCCCTTGTCTTTGGTAAACAGAAATCCTTGTTTTACTTCCTCTCTACCACACACTGCCTCTGTTCTCCAGATTGTAGCACCCCAGTCTGCACACAGCAGCCCTCAGAACTGTTTTACTCTACACTGAAGTAGTTTCCATCAAAAGATTGGAAGATAAGCTGCATAACACAGCAACGTCTCTCAATAAATTCCACTGTCTAAAACAGGTATCTCTGAACTAAGTTTCACCTCACACATGCTCAAAAGCATAAATAAGACTTCTCCTCATGCCATTAAGATTTCTCCAGCCAATTTTACTTGCTACAGTGCTACAAGCCCTGTAGTTTGCTTAAGTTGTTGCCATTTCTGCAACTTTATTTCTGAAGTCAATTTAAATACTGTTAAAGTTTAGACACAGTCTAAATCTTGTGATATCCCAGTGTTATCTTTCACACAGCAAGAGCTGTTCAGATTAAAACCCACCAGGATGCAAACAAAAGAGGCAATGGAGGGAAGGATGTTCAGCATTATATCACGATGCCCTCCAAAACACAGAAGCTCATCTGTGTGACACGACACTTGCTCCCAACATAGAAACACTCTCAGGTTTCAAATACTGTGCGCACATTAAATGCCTAAACACTGGGAAAAAAACTACTTCGTCCAACATTTATACCAAACTGTTCTCAGGAATTCTTGCTAAATATTTAACATCATACATCACTTCTACTGAACCTGAGTAGCAATAGTAATTAACTTGATTCTGAGAATCTATGCCTTTAGCTAAAAAGATGAGGCAGTTTAACTTTCCAAGCTCCAACAGAAATGAAGTACCACTTCTTCTACATTCCCAGTCACCTTACGTAAACCAAGGTGGAAAATCAGACCAATTCTACTCAATTTCTATATTAATAGTCATAAAATAAGAACAGTGCCGAAGGGCTAACACTTTACACTCATAATAGTTGCTTGGAAGAGTAGAGATCCATTTGAAGATAAAGACCATTGATGATTTAAGTAGGTTTGATCCTACCTCCTAACAAACCTTTCAGGACTACTGTTACAATTCTGTTTGGGAACAGAACAAACAAGCTTTGAGCCACACAGCTTCGATTCCATGTTTGAATCACATGGAGTTAAAAACCACACAAAGTCTACAAAGAGGCCAGGAGATACTCACGTTCCCCATGTATTCTGAAAGCAGATCCTGCAAGGCCTGTCGCACTGCATTACACTCAGCAACTATACGTTCCCGTCGGTCATCACGTGTGCAGGATGAATCAGCCATCAGGGCTGCTCCGCTAATGATGCTCTCCAGGCGCTCTTCCAGGGAAGGCCTAAAACGTTCTTCACTGAAGGTTGATGGATCCACAATAATTTGTTTCTAGGAAAATCAAGAAATTTAGGAATTAGTAACCAGACCAAGCAGGAAGTTACTCTTAAGTCACTGAGACAAGCACCATTCACAGCCCATCAGGCGTTAAAGGTAAAAACCACACAATTTTGGCACGGAGGATGATTTTCATGAGTAGTTTTGTAGAATGACTGAAAGGTTCCCCAGCAGATTACATTGCTAGTCATTTCTTGTGCTGCTTTGACAGCTGAACAAAACTTGGCCAGGGGAAGCCTCGTTACATGAATGGCAAAAATCAAATGTGCCAGCACAAATAAGGTTCAAAGTACAGAACTCTTCTTAACTACATGTCAGTGCAGACATGCCTTCGCTAGTTAAGTTGTCAGATATAACTATCCCATCATGAACATAAACCCAAGGAAAACAAACATCCAAAATTAGCCCTATGTACAGTGCTCTGCTGTCCTAGTTGATCGAGTCTTTAATCTCTTCAGGTAAATACAACAGTGTTCTCAAACATTTTCAAAGTGAAACATCAACATGAATGTTTCAAACAGCACAGAAATCAATTTCTTCATGGCAGAAAACTATCACAGGTTTATCTTGACAGAATAATAGTAAGCATGGCTCATACTGAGAGACTTAAGGCTGGAACAGCACTACTGACATAATCTGCTTTTCAAGGGGCCTATACCACCACCCATGGAAGCTCACCAGGAAGCAGTAGTGTGGTATTTATCACCTTGTGAGGACTTGCAAGAGATTCATTTGCACAGGTTTGCAATTTATTAAGGAAAAATTACTTGGCCATTTCAAGCTTTGGTTTTATTTCTGCTACAGGGTTGGGTGGGGAGGATGTTGCTAATTCTTTATAAAAGAAGCCCCAAAGGGTTTTTTCATAGAACCCTAGAATGGTTTGGGTTGGTTGGTTTCCTTTAGGCACTGGGGCTGCTCTAAGGTGTCCCCTTCAGGAGCCTTCTCTTCTCCAGCTGACCCAGCCCAGTCCTCTCAGCCTGGCTCCAAAGCAGAGCTACTGCAGCCCTTGCAGCAGCTCCGTGGCCTCCTCTGGACTCGCTCCAATAGCTCCACGTCCCTCCCTCTTGTGCTGTTGCTCTAGAGCTGGACCAGGACTGCAAGGGGGGGGTCTCCCCTGAGCAGAGTAGGGGGAAGAATCACTTTTTTTTTTTTTACATGGAAGTTTTCACAACCAGTTTGTGCCAGAATAACTTCAACAGCAACATCACAACCACTTCTCCCACCAGCCAGCCCATTTTGTCTCACTACGGAGTAACCATGTAGCCTTTGCAGCAGGATTAGAACATGGCACGTGTTCTCCAGCAGGGTCCCCACTCCTCCTGAAACTTTTAGCTATGTGGATCATACAGCAATAGTATGCTCCAACTTCAGAACTGCACTATCAAAGACAGAGATAGTGATTATCTTCTAGCGGCTATTTAATATTTTACCATCACAGTACAAACACTGGAGTATTTGGGAGAACATGTGTGCAAAGCCTCTGTTACCAGAGTGCAACAATACTCACAAGTCTGCAGGAAATGAAGTGCAGGGACAGTGTCAAGAACCTGAACACATTTGTTTTGTCAGTCTCCTCTGGCACGAATGAGATGACGAAACTATCATGCTCACCACGCATTAAACAGCAGCAGGGCTTGTTCAAGCGCCCCACAAAACTGAACTAAAAGCTCCAACGCTCCACGTGAACTACAACACCCAAAAAAGTCTCCAGCCATGTATTACAGAGTTCACAGAATGAAATATGGCCATATATACAAAATAACATTAAATGATTTGAGCTAGATGAGATAATCTATGAACCTTGTAATAGTCTCCCAGTGCCTAAAGGGGCTGACAAGAAACCTGGAGAGGGGCTTTGGACAAGGGCCTGGAGGGACAGGCCAAGGGGGAATGGCTTTAACCTGCCAGAGGGGAGACTGAGATGAGCTCTTAGGCAGAAGCTCTTCCCTGTGAGGGTGCTGAGGTGCTGGCACAGGGTGCCCAGAGAAGCTGTGGCTGCCCCAGCCCTGGCAGTGTTCAAGGCCAGGTTGGACACAGGGGCTTGGAGCAACCTGCTCTAGTGGAAGGTGTTCCTGCCCGTGGCAGGGGGTTGGAGCTGGAAGAGCTTTAATGTCCTTTCACACCCAGACCATTCTGTGATTCTATGATTGAATTCTATGTAATCAAGTCAGTCCTTAGCACTGTTGGTGTTACATTACCTGCCTTCCCCTCCCACAGATGCTGCTCAAACCTTTGATTCCTTACGTGCTAACCTGAGGCATGATCTTTAAGGCTTATGTAGCTGAACATACAATTGCTGGGATTCAAGAAAAGCAGACTTAAAACTGAAATTATCATCACAAAGATCAAGACAACCCTGACACCCCCACGTTACCCAAGAGATCACATAGAAGGCTTCACACTGGGCACAGGAAGAACTCAAACAGTACTTTGTCCTCGTAAAAGAAACATGGCAAAGAAAGTAAGAGAGGGGAGGAACAGTAGTGGTAAGAGCAAAAAGAAGGTGAGCAATATCTGGCAAAAGCCAAAAGTATTAAACATCTTTTGAGTGATGGCTTTGCAATATCAAATAAAGTTTTAGAGGCAAGTTACTGCCAAGGTGTTTGAAATTCAGAGGCTGAATCAGCGGTAGACACAGAACACTGGCTTCAAAAGGAAAGCGTTCTCAGTAAAAATGCATGGCTATCCTCAGTAACTCACAGAATGCAAGATAAAGAACATGACAGATCAGTACAACACATCACTGAAATGACTCCATTCCCAACCATATTAAACTTCCCACTTCATGTTCTTCTCAATAGGTAGCTTGGGAAGTTTCAAATACATTATTCACCTTTAATAAATCATTTCTGTCACGTAGAAGAATACATTACATAAATATATTATGAAATAATCAATTTCAAATAAACTAATGGCTTACATCTAATGCAGCAGTAGGCTAACTGCTGTTTCAGAGCTAGTTTAACTTGACAGCCTTCAATCACTAAGAACCACGTATATAACTTTCTATATTCCATCAATCCCAGTTTGGAAAAAGGCTTTTTAAAAAATAAGAGCCTACTTTACCTGAGACTTGCTGTAGTTCAGTAGAAAATGATCTTTCAGGCAACAGAAATAAAACGGAAGCTGTTGCTAGTAAATCAGGTGAATGAAGAGTTCAAGTGACTTTTTTTTACATCATAAAGGGTTTAAAACTTACATCAAAATTGTTGAGAGCATAAGCCAGCTCTCCCCCTCCACCCTGCTGCTGGGCAGCATCATCTGATGCAGTGGCTTGGGCTGCATTGGAGATGCCTGTGACCGCCTGCTGAAGCTGTTTGTAGATCAAGTCCCTGTTAGCTTTGTAAGCAGCTACATCCGGGTGCTGCAGACAGGCCTGGGATGCTGTGTAAAGAATGGGAACGTTCTTCTGCAGGATTCCTCTGGCTGCTGCCATCTGATCACGGTGACCCACATCTTTCAATTCCTATTAGGAAAATTAGAGAGGAAAAAAAAGGCATGAGAACATTCACATTTAACATCCATACACTGTCTCCCCTCACCTTCAAAAGATGGGCACGTTCTTTGCCTAGTACCCTCAAATCTAACTACCTTCTGACCTAGTACCCCTATTCTTAAGGGCTCAACTAATTTAAAACACAACAGCTTCATAAAGACAAAACTCAAAGTATTGTAGGGCAATTCCCAACTCCACAATTCAAAATGTGAGGTTGTATTTTTGTTCCTCTCCACCTCTGAGGACCAGCATTTTGAAAGCTGGTAACACCAACAAAGCAGGAGGACACACAAGCTGCAAGCGCATGTTTTCTCTCCACTTCTTCCAGTTTGCATGACATCTGAATAGTCACAAAGAAACCTAAATCCTCAAAACAGAGCAACTTAGGTTTTTACGTAACTTAAGAACCAAACTGATTTTTAACTATCAAACAAACAAGAGGCTTCCCCTGCAATCTTATCTTGCACATAAGCAGCAAGATAATCTTTAAATTAAACTGCTAGACTCACAACCAGAATGTTTTCTTTAATCACACCTAGAAGATGGAGTTTACTCTCCTGAAGAGACTCGGGTATTTCATTTTAGAAGAACAAGTATATCATCTCATTCAACTTCTTGTTCATCTCCAATGAGACGAAATTAATCCAGTGACTGTAATTACCTCTAATTTAACATTAGTGAGCAAGTCCAGACCAAACACTCGCTGCTGCAATTCTCTAAAGCACCATCACCTCCACTTTGGAACAGAAGCACCATGATTAAATAAAGTTTCCAAATCCAGCATGAGCAGTAAGTTTATAAAAGGAAGAATGAACACAGTTATTAGCAGTATCATAATTTTACCTCTTAAATCTAACGAAGAGGTGATGAAGAAGAGGATTGTCTTACTGAGAAAAGGAAAAATAATCTGACAGCTCTTCAGAATGAATGGGTAACATGTGACCTCTACAAGATACACACTAGGCAGGGAGGGCACTGCAAGCAGGCTTACAGATTTAATACAACCACTTCCCACAGTGTGGAACAATCCATCACAGAGCAGTCTAAGAACATTTATTGCATTGCCATCCCAACCCTACTCGCGTTTCCTGCAATCAGATTTCAGATACATAACCAACTGGCCATCCATTTCAGACTGTACCCAGTTTATTTTCAGAGATGAATCTGTGCAAAAAACCCCCAAGCAGTGTCAGAAGTGCATAAGCAGTTTTGGTTTGCACATATCAGCAGAGCAAACAAACAAATGCTCTACAAGAATTATGCTGTTTGTGATAAATGGACTGCCCACACCTCTGCTTGCTTTTGAGAACTTAACTACACAAGAATGAGTCACAACAGTGCTGTTGAACAAAACAAATTTTACGTGCCATTTAAGGTTAAGCACAAGTTATCCAAACACAGAACACACACCACACATGCCTCAAACACAACACACCTTACACATGATTTTAAAAGCCCTTCTCAAATAGGTGTTTCAGTGCAAGACTAACCAGCACCACCACTCACTCTCTTGGCAAGATCTGTAATTCTGTGCTCAGACATGACTTTTGCTCCCTGTTTAAATGGATAATGTTCAGTTAATCTGTGCAAACCACAAAGACAGCATGGTCCAGTGGCAAGCGCACCAGGCACTGAGCTACATCTCTAGTCTTTTCTTACTCACCCCTGCACTGCTTCAAAATGGAAAGTGCGAGTCTTGGGAAGCAGCATCTTATTAAGGTACTACAGCACTAGCATAAGCAAATGCTACTAGAACAAATTCCATCAGAAGCAGTACGCTACAGCTGAGCAGACCTTCTGCTTACCAGGCAAGCTGAAATTCCTTAAACACAGCAGAGTGCAACACAAAATACTCAGCAAGTAAAAGCATCAGCAGCAATGGGTACTGTCCAAGAGCAGCAGGGCTGCCTTACTTTCTGGTTTTGAAAAAGAAAAAGGAAGAACATACAGAAGAAAGAGCTGCCATCACTATACCTGTTGTCTTTTGGCTGCCATGATGTTAAGCTTGTCCACTTCTGGTTTGAGGGCTTTGTACTGGATGCCCAAATCCTGCTCTGTGCCAGCATTTCTTAGTTTCAAGATACCTTCTTCCACCTAAAAGAAAATATATTCATATATTTTTTCCAAGTAATACAGTCCACAGGCCAGGGAGTAATTCAAAACGTACTTCACAGCAGACAGAGGAAACCATCTTCCTCTGCCCTCTTTTATTTTTTGGAGAAAGATGCTTCAAAGGCCAATAGCACTGAAGGCTTAGCTCCTACTTCAGAGCCACCAGCCACTTGGCTACCAGAGGCAGTCAAGTACACACATTTGAGAGAGCATGAAGGAGCCCAGGGCCCTTGCAGAGCTGTGGCAGTGGCCATCGAGGGGCACGAGAAGAGTCCTCAAAGTGCTGCCACCAAAGCAGGCTCAGTATCAGATCTCATTTCATCGCAAATTCTGAACAAATCACCCACCCACCCTCTTGCTTGTGGGAAGAAGGTTTCCTCAAATTTTCCACATTCATTTTAGTCTACTGAAGCTGTTCATCCCTACTAGCTACAAGGGAGTATCGATTATAAGAAAGCCAAGTTACTGCTTTAAGACGAAAAGTGCTGCTTATCACCTGCAGTTGCAGACCACAGTGCATAAAGTTTCAGTGCTAGAAGTTCAGAATAAAGTACAACACAATGTCAAAAGCTGCTGACAATGAATGTAAAAACAAGCGACAAACATCCACTGCACACGTTTTGCTCAGAGGAAAAACCCTAAAAACCTCCCTGCTCCAGAAGTGACCCACTGACAGTGCACACACCAGGGTCAGCACACATCATGAAACAAAGCCGCTTGACAGAGCATGCCTGGCATGGCAAAGTGGATCACGGCAAAAGAACTACACTTACTACTTTCAGTTGAACAAGCAGCTTGTAGACATCTGCCATGTCAGCCAAAATCAGCAGACGGGTGACGGCGGAGAGGAGGGCGCGCGCCGCCCGGACCATGTTCCCGCGTTTGACAGAGGAGCAGGGGTCATCAGCAAACTCCCCCGAAGCGCTCTTCATCAGGTCACCTGCACAAGGGGAGGAGAAGGTCCCACTTCAGAAACACTGTGTGATGTGGAAAGGGCTGTAAGGATTCCTGGGCAAGCATTCCAAGCCTTGAAACAAAAAGTGTTTGCTTAAATACAGCCAGCAATTAAGACTCCATGTAGCTACCTCTAAGTATGGTTACCACATGGTATCAGGAGAGGGGCTTGTGCAATGAGGAAGGGTTGGGAAATACCACTTTGGTCCTTATTTCTGACTGTAAAGGTGTTTTAACATGCCAGAATCCTCTGGAGAGGCAAATTCAGCCATGCCTTCACTATTACATGTGGGACTACAGCTCTTTCACAAACTACAATGCTCTCAAAGCTTATGCAAAAGCTCTGAGTTGTGTGCGTGTAGGAGTTAAGCAGAAAGCAGCAGAAAGTACTGTAACCACCCAAGGAAACGCCGCAGCTCATGGGACTGTAAACAACTCAGAGCAATGACCTGGCTGGATGTGCCCTGGGTTTGCTTTCAAAGCAAGGCACCGCTGAGTAAAACGCTTCAGCGTTTCATAGCCTGTGGCTCTGCATCTGGTGCAGGAAGAAAGAATTTGGGTTTCAGATGGTAACAATGCAATTGGTTAACGATGAAAAGCAAAGGCCATTTTACACAGCTAGAGAAATTCCTCCAGAAGGCATTCAGAAAGCATAAAAGTGATGTCTGCATATAGTCAGAAGAGTAAATTTCGGATTTCTCCCCCCCTTTTCTAGGGTACCACTTTGCTTCCAGTTCCACAGTTCCTATACAACACCAAGTTTTGGAATCCACTTTATTATTCTTGGATCTCTTTGTATTTCAGAAACATTTGGTAGACAGCTAGGATTTAGTTTAGAAAATGCTAGGCACCCAAGGCCAAAGATTTGTGGGCAGCTGGAGATGACCTGAAAGCAGGCAAACCGTGCTAAAATCAACTGCTGTGTCAGGGGCTTCCCAAGCCTGTATGAAAAAGCATCCATATGGCCAACCACCACAACAGAAATAGCACATCTCAGATAAGAGAAGAACCTGAAGTAGTCCTTCACAAGTGAAAGCTGACAGTGCCACCCATGGAGCCCACTACACAAAATGAGGCTTGATTTGCACCAAAATCTGAAGATGAGCAGTGGCATCATCCTGCCCACAGCCTGCAGCCAGTGCAGCATATCCCCAGTATGGGAAGTATTTCAATTTTAATGACTTTTCATTTTCAATCTACTATTTTAACTACTCAACAATACCTACAACTGGAGAGCCTGGGGTTAACCATGCCCATACTTACCATTAACATTTAATCTCTCGCCCTGGAAGAGTTTCTAGCACCCAAAGGCTCTCCACCTTCGCAGCTAAATACAGCCCAAACACAGCTGCCAGCCTGCCCAAGCAGCTACACCAAGATACTCAATTTTGTTCACATGCTCCCTCCTATGTAACACCCTTCCATCATCTTAAATAATACGAGGGGTGGCATATAACATTTTCAGATAAAAAATATGCTACTTCAGTAGTGTGACAGATGAAAAGAGCTTCTGTCCAACCACATACCAGCTATGACTATCAATCCAAAGCTATCCCTTACCCAACTTGGAGGAACACGACTCTATTTTAACAAGTGTTGAGAGCCTCAGTTTTCCAGATGGGTGAAAGACGACACGTCTCCAATGCTGAAAAACTGCAACCAGCCATGAGATTCTAAACCCCCTACACAGCTGACATGACCCTTCCTTTATCTTCCCTTCTGGAAGAGGATAATAATAGAGAAACTTATGTTACCACCACAGTATGAAATCTATTAACAATGTCAGGATTTACAGATATATGCCAGAACCAAAATTCACTATAAATATTTCCTCCCTTATTTACTTCTATGTTAAATTCCCCACATTTCCAAGTCCCAAAAGAGAAGAATGTTGTTTTCATTTATTTCCTATTTAAAACAACTTAGAGAGGTGGCCACCCGCTTCCTCCAAATCTCTGAAATTGCTAACAAGGTTAAACCCCAAAATTATCCTCTACCCATCTCTTAAATTGCAACCATACAAGCCAATCCTGAAATAAAATGCTATTTCTTTTTATTTTAAGGACAGCCTTGAAAAGATCGAGTTTCAAACAGCTTGTCAGGGTGTCAAAAAGATAACCAGCTTCCCAGAATTAAAGGAAGATTATATTTAAAGTTGTTGCATATATATTTTTTCCTGCAAATTAAAAGAAAGCTGGCTTTCAGGCTTCTTTCACAACAAAAAAGCAACATCGGGTAGTTATTTTAGCTAGAATCAAAGGGAACTCTGCCCTAAGTGTAAGTGCATACTTAAGCGCACATATCAGCAGTTCAAAGTGATCAACCATCACCTTCTCTTTGTCAAATGTGAACCAGAGGTAAGACACCAAGTTTGAAAGCAGGATTTCAAGAGTTAAAAGAAAACAGGCTGCAGAAGAGTCAGGCTATGAGACTCCAATTATACAGCTCGTACAAATTCTTATATGAGGAATCTGTTTTTCCAATATAACCTTACATTTCCACTAGATTTTATAAGGGAAAGATAATAAAACAGATTTGAGAAAAGAAGAGGCAATGGTAGCCATCCTATGATCTTGTCAATAAAGCACTAAGAATTCAATTAAATCTAATGGAACAAAGCCCGTTTCAGAAATAGTAAGATTTTAGTCCATGAAAAGAAAATTACCATTTTCCAGTCTCATTCCCACCATGCCCACAGGGTCTGACAGCACTTTCAGACAGCACCATTAATCCTCCTCAGCAGCACAGTGCACACTGACCATGTCAGAGAGGGCTTGCTTTGTACCAATCCCAACAGGGAAGCAGCAGGGAAAACAGGCAAGGCAGGACCTAGGACACCCACAGGCACTGATGCTTTTCTTCCTGAGCTAGAACTTTGTGTCCTCACATAGAACAGATCACAGAATCCCAGCCTGGTTTGGGTTGAAAGGGAGCTTAAAGCTCATCCAGTTCCAAACACCTGCCACGGGCAGGGACACCTTCCACTAGAGCAGGTTGCTCCAAGCCCCTGTGTCCAACGTGGCCTTGAACACTGCCAGGGATGGGGCAGCCACAGCTTCTCTGGGCACCCTGTGCCAGTGACATTACCTTGAAGGGTCCATCACTTCTACCCTTCAGCACCTTCCAGTTCAAAGCCTGTCTCCAGGCTGCTTTACTGGCAGCATTAGAAATACAAAGACCACCATCAGGATGTAGTTCTACCTGCTACTCCCCACCAAACGAAGGCAAGCATGAAATTAGAGTTTCGAGACCCTACTATCCTGGACACTGAAGTTCTACCTTACCACTAATACCACCTTCAATGTCCATCATGTGTCACAATAAGCTGTTGTTGCTTTCTACTATAAAGGACTCCTTTTGCCATATCAACATTGGAGTTGATACTTATGGCAACAAAAGGTTCTGTGAATTCCTTAATCTTGTCATCCATTGAATCCATATACTGGCTACAATACTCCTACAGTTTGCCAAGAGCTTTCTCAGAGCTCCCTTAGCTTATGGCTTTTCAAAGATCTCAAGCCTTTGACTAGATTATTATTTCTGATACAACTGGTACACTCCTAAGACATTTTTCTTGCAGGAAAACAACTCAGAACTCTGCACCCTTCCGTGAAGTCAAGCTCAATGGTTACAACAGTATTTTAAAGCTGACTTTTCCAAGAAGAATTCAGTCTTTAACTTCAAGTTACTCTGCAAATGACCTCCTCCTGTTTCTTGGAAATCTTTTAAGCCATGCATCTTGTGTGAAGGACAGTTGAAAAAAAAACAAACAAACAAACATCTCATGCTTTCAGAATTTGCCTCACTGCTCAATTCTGGAGAAAGCTTCCTTCAAACACAGGGTGGAAAGACACCACACTACATCAGGAGGTTCACTCCCCCACATTTGCAACTGTGAAACATGATCAAAGTCCACAGGATTCACAAGAGCATTCAGCCATTCTCTTACTGCAAACCCTCTGCACAGGCTTAAGCTTTTTAATTTTAAGCTGTAATTTTTGGTCTTTCATGTAAAATTACCATAGGCAGAAACACAACAGTAAGAGCATAGCTAATACACTGGATCCTCACACTGGACACAGACGCCAGTACTGCAGGAAAACAGGAATAGCCTGGTCAGCTTGACCTAAAAGAAATCTCCCTCTTGACCCTGGAGTTTGCAACCTGTCTTGGTGCCAAGCACCTGGGTGAGAAACTGGTTCAGTCCCAAAACACCTCCCAATAGCATCAGAAGAGTCGACCATTTCAATGTACTTCGTGCTTCATAACAAGGTAAAACCCTACAAAGACTTTTCAGTGGGGGGAGTAAGACTGGGCAAGACCAATATTGCCCCTTCTATCACCTAACAAAATTCCTAGGGCAGAAATTAACGCAACAAACACCATTAGGATGCTGAAATTCAAGACATTCCCATCAGATGTTTTCCCAGTGCTAAGTCTTCTCTATAACCACAGCACGATCTATTCTGAAAAACACTCTGGTTCTTTGTCTCTACTATTCTGTTCAAAACTTTATGAAGTTTCACTACTTTAAAAGAAGTCAAAAGTCCAAAGCTTTAAAGGGCCAGGAACCTTACTTCAGGATATTTTATGAACTTGTTTAATATTTAAAGCAAGTTGTAATTTATTCTTTCACTGTAAAAAAAAAAAAAAAAAAAAAAAAAAAATCAAGACGACTTTGAAGATCCACTTACACTGATTTAGTATGTAGCAGTGCTATCATTCATTCTAAATAACTCTTTTCCCTTCTTTGTTTTTACCCCCAACAAATGGGATTTTAGGAACAAGTGTACTCACTGAAGCCATGTACCCTCTCCATCATCTTCTTGCTAGGCTAAAAAAACCCACTTTAATTTCCTCTGATGGGACATGTTATCTATTGTCCTAATCATCTTCATAACCCCTGCCTGCATTCACTCATCTTTTTTTATTATGGTAACTAAACCGCTCCCTCATCTAAACAGAGGCATTATTAATTCTATTTTCATGTCTTCTGCTGAAGATAAATAGTGCTGTACATCTACAATCCCACTGCTGCTGTCAGACACACAGATGCTGCCAGTTCACCATCACCCTGCTGCTGACTAGGTTCTCTTGCTTTTGCATCCATGGCAAAAGGGAGATAAAAGCACCAACACCTGCAGGTTTTGCTAAGCACGCACACAGGTTTTTTACTACACTTCCCTCGTGTCTGCAGTTCATGGATTCAAGCAGTCTACGACAATACTGGAAGCACTTCTGAAGTGCATCGACTATATACAAAAACACGTACCTAGAGATTTTGCAGCTCCCCACTGTTATTAGCACTAGGAGAGCTGCAGTCCTCCCCTGGGCATTGGAGGTAATCAGCCTTCCCTCTGTTATATCTCATTTTTCACCATTTGCTTCTAATTTCCTCAAAGGTTGGTATGTTTTTTAATTTCCTTACAAAAAGCTGCTCTGCTAAACCTGACCAAATACTGGCACCATGAGAGGACACAGGCTTTTAGCCGTGATTGTGCTGCCCCAGCAGCCCAGCGTGTTGCAACTCCATCCCGCAACCAATTGTGGCAACAGTTGTGTTCAGGCAACCCTTCAAGTCTAACCCTCATGCACCCAGCTTCAGAAAGCAGGCCCAGCTATCCTCTCTATGCACCAGATCTCATGCAAACTGCAAACAGTACAAAGGGAGGAAAAAGTGAAACGACATTAAGGTGGAAGGTTATTCCACTCCAGCACCTCTCAGCTATGAACTCTACCTCCTCTGTCAAAGCTCAACAGAGCAGGGAGGTTTGAGACTACATGTAGACTGATGCCAAAGGAGAGGTCAAAAAGCAAGTGAAAGGGTCGTCCTGAAGGTTTTTGTATTACAGTCTCCCCTTCCTACCAGCTTCTCACTGTAAATGCAACTACAAACTCAGCTAACAGAACTTCTCAATCCTGAGGGCTGAGTGCAGCTCCCTCACCCACTACTATCACGAGAATCATTTGAAGCTACTTGCAGATGAGCTCTGACTCAATTCTGAGCAGCAAGCAAGGACCAAGAATCAAAGGCTTCAAGACAAAGCTTCGGTTTCTTTGCTGTTGGTGGTTGTTCAATTAAGCCAACTCAATTAGCCCCTCATACCGCAGCCTTCTTATGCTGATCTTTCTTTGGTCTGTCAACCAGGCTCATCCAGAACTTAGAACCATTTTCAAGTAATACTCCATCACTCTGCAGTTTCAGCTATGAACAAGTAATTAATGCTAATGAGCTTTCCTCTTCTTGCAGCAGCAGCCGTCACCATTAATACCAGTTGACTGAGTTTCACTGAAGCATAGAAAAGGCTCATGCCTGGAAGAATGATAGATGATTTATGAGCAACAATATTTACTAGTGTGTATTTTAGAGTAAGCCAGCTCCATAGGCTTTTCTTGCAGGTCTTCTCCAAGAAAGCAAAAAGAAAATGATAAAAATCAACACTAGATGATGTGGGGGAGGAAGCTGGAATATTTAGTCAAGGTCCTCGCGCTCTGTTTGTTGCTGTTTGCATTTTGCATATTGGAGACACCAGGCTCTGTCAAGTCAACACTCAGCTCTTCCTCCTACAATGCTGTTTGTATGCATGCAAATATTGAAGAAGTTATTGATATATTTGAGATATAGTTCCAGAACATTTACAGAAGGGGGGGGGGGGCAAGTTTACTTTTTAGCCTAAACTGAGTTTTAAATGCTGTTCAAAGAATCAGTCCTTCTGCTTCTCTTCTCAATCTCTATCTGGGACACCCAACTTTCCAGGTCTGACCAGTTCATATTACTCTGCAAGAAAGACAACAAGACAAGCCAAGAATCTACAAAAGCAGAGAGGTGCAAAGTCATCAGAAATAACAGCAAAAGGGAAATGAGAAATCAGAGCAAGTTCTTGCTCTGAAAATCCACAGCTTTACAAGTTACCAGATACATAACTCTCACCTTGCTTACGAACATCTTCCACAGCCGCCACCAGCTCCTCTTTAAGGAACTGGCTCTCTTTGGCAATTTTATCTCCTTTCTCCAGGAAATTCTCTGTTGCTTGTTCAACTGAAGCAGCCAGAACATGGGCCTTTTTAGAACGCCCTCGCTTCTTATTAGAGGGACCCTTGTTGCTCGTGTTAACCAGTGTTGTTACCTAAAGACAGAGATAGAAGGGAAACAAAACCAAAAAGAACAAATTATAAGTTCATCAATTTGACAGCAAGGCCACATGTATTTTTACCTGCAGTACTGCCAGCTCCAAAGGTTAGACCCAAACAAGTGTTTTCACATCTGTCTAAACATTACAATGCTCCTTGATTCCTCAGATGAGCACTATAAATTCAGCTGAACTGCTTACATATTTTTCTTAGCAGCAGCAGACCCAAAATCTTGATTTGAAGGATTGAGAGCTACTTGTATTTTTGATCAACTGCAATCTCACCAACAGGCCAGAGCTATTTGGCACCACATGAAGAGAAACCAAGCTGGGGATAATTAGTTTGGGATAGCTCTCCAGGCACAAAAGACCCCAAACAAGGTTGAAGCCATTATCTACAGATATCTAGCACCACAGTATCTTTTCAGTCCAAAACAGTACTACAGCCAATGCACTAAATGCAGAGTGAAGGACTTCCCAGAGCTCATTACTTCCCTAAAACAACCAAAATGGAACTCTCCCAATCCTCCTGCAAACATTATTTCCAAGTTTCTAAGACCAAAACCCTGCTAGGAGCTGGACTCCAGCAGTCAGATGACAAACACATACTCCCTTAGCTCAGGGATCAGGATTCATCCTCTTCAGACTGATGTCCCAAAATCCATGTGCACTTTCCCATTTGTGTGTGTGTGTCCCCTCTTATGCTGATCTAGGAAAAATGCATTCAAAGGTACTTCAGAGGGACATTAAATTACCACACTAATAATATAGCCCAAGGACTGCTGACATAAAGGTCCTCAGAGCTGAATCCATCTCCTCAGAAGGTTGATTCAGAGAGGGAAATCCATCAGCTGGGAATACCACTGTCGGTTAACAGGGAGTGTTTGTACTGGGCAGTCTCAGTTCACCATGTACTACTAAAAGAACAAGTTGCAACAAGGCAATTTACTCTATTTTCCTCTCTGTATTTTGCCTTTCACATCACTCACAAAATTTGGGATTGCCAGAACAGCCTGTTGTGCTACTTGAGGAATAAGTCCCAGACACTGAACCTGGACAAAAAGATCCTATGAACAAGTTTGCTCAGTTAAGTTTGTGCAACTGGGACAATTTCTCTTACGGAAAGACTCCACCAGTAGCTCAGGCTAGAAAGCTATGTAGTAGATGACCTGACTGCACATCTCAGTATCTAGAGGGAGCAAACAAGGGGACGTTAACACTGGAAACAGAACTTGATGGCTGCAGTCTGTGCTTAGCAGGAGTTGTGTCCAGTTCATTGTCAGTTTAAAACTTTCTTATTTCAGGAAAACAATGCTAAAGAGGATGAGTCTCCAGTGCACCTTCTCTTCCAACCTCCAAGAAAGTCTCTTCCAAGAACCTTCACAGCTTACAAGACTTACTCTAACTTGCCCTCATTGCTCAGTACATGTCACGGGACATTACACACCATGCAGAAATAAGCTTTTATTCACAAAACCAGCATTAGCATGTAGGCAGAAATTAAAAGAAAGTCTGTCTTTTACAAGATATACTGAAACTGTAACAAAGGCTTGTAAGGTCTCCCCTGAGCCTTCTCTTCTCCAGGTTGAATAAGCCCAGCTTTTTAAAGACTCAACAAATAAGTAGCTAAGTAGCACACCACCCAAAACACAGGTGAGAACCAGCTCAGCAGCAAGGGAACATTAGTTACTAACATGCATTTCTGCACTTTGAATCAAAATACCATGTCTTATTGGGTGGTGAAGCAGCACAGTCTTTCTACACTCACGCCCAGTAACTCCATCTCAACAAAAGTGAACAAAAATTACTTGCACGTTTTTCTTCACCTTTAGATTTGTAGTGGTTTTACTTCTTGAATTTAGGTTTTGAAAGTTCCTTAACTGAAATAATACAGGTTTTGCCCCCTTTTTTTCCTACCTGTGTAACGAGAGGCTCAAGTAGTCTTTCAACTGCCAGTGTTCTGATCTCCAAGCTTTTGGGGTCCCATTTGAAGTTAACGTTGCCTGCAGTAACAGCAGTCATTTCTAGAAAAACAAGAGAGCTAGATGAATACAACATTATTATTATATTAAATACTGTGGTAAAGTATTTTAAAATAAGTTAAAATGGAGGCTATTAAACACAGAACACATCCATGTGGTGTAAGTTAAGGTTATACTGTCTCTGGAAATACCAGGCTTGGTTCAGCTGGTGACAGTTCAAAAAGCTGCCTCTTATGACAATATACAGACATAACCATGTTTTGCTTGGAAAATAAAACCAAAATCAAGTAAAAATTCACCGAAACCTATTGAGAAGCCATGATACTTTATCAGAGCAATGGCAAGATGGGCAGTGCTTAGTCTACTCCTCAGTGGTCCCCAACCAATGAGAAAGGACCTCACAGGTACCAGGGCACATTACCCACACAGCTGGAGGCTATGCAAGCAATCCCTTCCCAATTCCTGCTGACTACCTCCAGGAGGACTGCACTGTTGCCCCAGTCTAGCTG